GCCATTAAAAGGCTATTGAAGAATATTCTTGGAGAGTTTCTACTCTGTTGTTGGTGAAGGCTTTTGTGTTCCTGTGACAAATGATCAACTCAAGAAGCAGAGAGTCACTTGAAAATAATGACAGAATTTAAATCTGCATGTTATAATTCATACTTGTGATGTTAAAAAAAAAAGTCCCTATTTAATGGGATAGAAGCTGTTGTTACTGTTAGATGCTGTTACTGTTAGACTAGTGTCAACCCACCATGTTAGAGGATTTGGCTGTCTGGGCAAGGAGGACAAGTTCCTTTAGAAAGGCAGAGGAAGATGGGGAGGGGTGTAAAGCACAGGAAAAAGGAACATTATAAAAACTGCAGATCTGAAGTTTGGAGTTCAGCTCATCTACCTTCTGTCTGGAGCATGAATTTTTTTCTCATTTTCTTTTTAGAATAATAAAATAAAAACAATGACTACTTTCGATGAGCAGTTTGTTACTTGCAAGATATATGTGCTACTGAAAAAAATATCCTTTGTCTTTCATTCATTCATTCATTCATTCATTCATCTAACTACTCACCTGCCAACCCATCTATCCATCTGAGCTGAAAAAAATATCCTTTGTCTTTCATTCATTCATTCATTCATTCATTCATTCATCTAACTACTCACCTGCCAACCCATCTATCCATCTGGCAAACACATACCAGGCACAAAATGGTAACATTCAGTAACATGGAACTCATCAACCCAATAGGCAGTGTTCTGCATATATAGACAACTCTAATTCATGAAAAGCTCTTCCTCATATGAATTTGAAATGTGCCTCTGTGTAACTAGCCAATAGGCCAGCGTGGTGTCCCTTTGTCACACAGAAAGTAATGGATAGGAAAAAAAATGGCAACTGTAGGAAGCCTGCAGGAATAACCACAATTTCTGCTCCTGATTTCAACTCAGTGCAGTCTTTTATACTTGGAAACTTTCAGTTTTCATTGCAAGGCCCATTCTTCTGGGCTAGGAGATGGTTAAATCTCATTAACTCCAAAATAGTGATGCAGTCTTCCCTCCAAAGAGTTTTGCAAAGCTCTTAATAGTTTGGAGGCACTGTCAGAGGACAATAAAATTTGCCACCCACATAAAAGTGAGTCTATGCAATGCCAGCTCATAAACACTAAGAATAGTTCCATAATACCAAGAAGTCCAGGGATACCCAGGTGGTGAGGAGCACCCATTTGAGAGCATCCGTGACATATCCTGTCTTAGCAGCGTCTTATAGATAGTCTCTCAAGTGGCCAAAATCCCAGGATGCTCATTTTCTTTACCTTATGTGAGGAGTTCAAATATACAAAGGAGATTGTGGCTGAGGTCAGGGAGAAGACGAGACTGTACAGTGGAACTGGACCTGCTGCTTCAGGAGGCTCTGCGCTGTCCCTCACAGCACAGACTCCCACTGCCCATTGGTCTGAATAAAGCAGGAATCACCCTGGCAGCTACCCTGACCTACAATGTCAAGATAAACCAGGTAATCTCCATTGGCAGGTTTTCCTTCTACGCCTTTCTGGAAATCCGTTTTGTTCAGTCTTTGGCCCTCTACCTACTACTCATCATTAAATCCAGTATGACCAAAGAGCCTAACTGTAGATAATATAGCATTTTTTTCTGTCATAACATAACAATAGTTAACATTTATGGAGCATTTATTATATGCCAGCCACTTTATCCAATTCAATTGGTGGTCACATTAGTGCTAAGTTGGGTACATATTCCAATTTCCAGATAATCAAACCAAGACAAAGAAATTTTAAGTACCTTCTGTAAGCTTGTGATTACATGGCATAGCTGGGCCTCAAACAAGATCATCTTGATTCACCCATCATGCCTTCCTTTCAGAAAAATAGCACTAGATGTGTGCCAAGTTGCCAGTCTACACATTTTACATATTTCAACTCATTTCATCTTCATGACAATCCTATTTTACTGCTGAGTAAAGCATATTAAAGACTGTCTCAGGGCACACAGGAAGCACATGGTGGAATTGAGTTTTGAACCTAGGTAGTCGGATGGCAGAGGCCAGATCATTATTTTAGAGTAGCAGTACTATTCCACCTAGAACTCAATGACCAAGATTAAGATTTCCTAGGGAGCCACTGCCCACTCACTCCAGTTTGAGCCATTCACCTTGGTGGAAAGCCCACCTAGCATCTGTTGTAAGGACAGAGTTGTAAAGTAGTAAAGAGAGTTGTAAAATACACCTTTTTAGCATCTTTTGAGGGGTAGGTAGGGAATGTAGACAAGGAAACTAATGTGTGGGGAGGTTGAGATTCTTTTCTATAGTCCCCTAAACCAGCTAGCAGTAGGTTTCAAATGAAAACCTATAATCCTCAATCCAATAGTTGCTGGCTCTTATGTGATGAAAATTGTGCTACCCTTTGGGGGCAAAGTAAGACCAGGAGAAGCTACCAGGGGCCTACAAACGCATCTGACTTTATGCAATGACTTAAGGTCATTAAAGGGCATAGCATTTCTGCTAAGGAGGCAACCGTATTGAACAGATCCATGAGCTTCCCTTCCATGGTAAAGTGCAGGCCCAAACTGATTGCACCTGATGCAGTGATATGGCATCTGTGCACCCAGAATGGGGTAAAGCATTCCTATCTGTAAGACTAGAGCAACCAAGTGCCCAGTCCACCCTGAAGATGGTAGAGCTGAATACAGGGCTGCCTGCCAAGTCAGATTACTGCAAATAAAAAGACATTCCCCCTAAAGCCTGTGGCTCTGTTGTGAAAGCCTACAGATAGAGAAGTAAGGAATACTCGACTTCCCAAAGGCTTTGCCTACAGTCAGTGGGGACATGGCTGCTGGCTCTTTTAATGACATCACATCCTTTAAGTATTTCTCCTTCCTCTTGCCTGTTTTACTTCTCCAACTGTTAGCAATGGAGTTACTTACAAGAATTTCAAAAACAAGAACAAGCGAGGTTCCAAACAGTTGCAACCACAGATCTTTTATTCCTAGAGGCTCAGACCACATCCTCCAAGCATCCATGAAAATTCCTGTACAAAAGATGGCCTGTGGCTGCATTTGGCCCTGCACTGGCATCAGGCACTGGCTCCTTGAAGCTACACATGTTAGCTACTTCCTTTACTTCTCATGGCCACATTGTATTATAGGAATATTATATTATATCATATTATAGGGATTACTAACTCTTGTCCTATTGATGAAGTCATTGAGGGCCAGAGAAACTAAGTAAATACTCAAGGATGTCAGTGGAAGAGATTGTATATTTTCCTTCAGATCTTATGTCCACTAGAACCAAGGGATGGAGTTACCACAGGAACAATGGATGGCACTCATGGGCAAGTTATCCAACAAATCAACTACTTTCCAGATACTCTAAATTCAAGTCTGACTCTTTTTTGTTTGTTTGTTTCTTTCTTCCCTTATATTACAGGGCATAATGTGCACTGCTTTGGTTTTTTTAACAAGCAGACACAATGATGTGTAGTGATGAAATGATTTATTTAATTATAAGTTAACCTTCATGAAAAGAACTAATCAGCCCATAGTAAGTTAGAGAGAATACAATCTTGTGGAGAAGCCCAGACTCTAGAGACATATTTTTATCCAGAAGATTCAATACACAGATCTTTCTTCTGACAAAGCTCTGAATTAAGTGAGAATGGTATTAAGGTATAAGCAAAGCAGTCACTTCTTCCAAAGATATAAGTTCAGGAGAAAATATAAACACAAAGTTCATTTAAAGGAGAACATCATGAGCTTTCTAGGAGCAGGAGAAACACTGGCAATAAGAGCAAGGCAGCTTCTTTTTGATAAGAAACAACTTTTTGTCTCAGGAAGTTTCCTCAGCATGTTTCAAATCATACTTTGATTTTCTAGGTGTATAAATAGAAACATAATTCTTAACAAATTATGCCCAATTTAACTACTAACTTAAATCTCAGGGGAAAAAAACAGCTAATGAAAGAATCCAGAATAAATTGCCTCACAGTTTTATTTTTCTCCTCAGCTTTTCCAGCTGCTCTCAGTAGGAATATGATATATTTTTTTCCTTTTGCTAGCAACAGTATTGTGGCTGCTGGGTTGTCAAGAACAGAAGTAGCCCAGGCCGGGTGGTCAAGATTAAGAGCACAAAAATGGATTTGAGAGGTAAAATTACAAGTCATGCATGCCTCAGCAGAACAACTGCTTTGGTATATTTGCTATTAAAAAGAGACCAAAAAACTTCCAGAAAATTAAAAATTTTGAAAATGTAAACTGCCTGCAGTTGCATTCTTGTGGCCCTGAAGGAATAATCTTTACTTTAACCAAAGGTCATCAAGCAGCCAGACTCGGCCTGACGGTAAACAATTCTAATCTAGGCTGCAAAACATTTGTGAAAGTGTGTTCAACAAAGAGCAAAGAAAATTCAGACTTTTTTTCAGAGACAAAAAGGGGAAGAAAACTGGAGGGGCATTTCTAAATAGGGCAACAGAATCTATCTGTCTGAGGAACAGACTTTCTCAAGAAAACAAAATCCTGAATATTGCACAGGCTCAGGTCAAAATTGCTACAGGTGAGATGAATACATGAAAGCAAGACAAAATAAGGCCAAAAATAAAACCAAAAACACAACAGGCAAATATGAGGTAACTCTAAATTCTGTTGGTCCTGAGACCTCCAGGCCCCATTAAAGAGGCTGAACAGGTCTACACTGTTACGGTACATTTCAGAAACTCTCCACTCCACTCCTCTCCTCTCCAGGGTTTTATAAAATCAGATCAACTTTCCAGACAAGCAGAGGCCGGACTAACAATTAGGAGAAACAAAAAGGATTAAATATCTGGCCTGGGAGAACTTTGCTGTGTAACTAGAATGTGAAAGACATCCTCTTCTCTTTGCCAAAGAGCTTCGCAGAGAGCTCAGCTATTTTGCTTATATTTTTCATTCAAATCCCTTGATCAGATCCCTTAGAGGCCAGTGGCCTGAATGCCACAACAGAAAAATGGAGAGTTTCAGCTCACCTTTTTAAGTGTCTGTCTGGGGCTCTCAAAGCAGCAGCAACTGAGCAGCTCTCATCCCTTGTGCTTGAACGAAGCAGACTGTTGGGCAACCTCAACAGTGGCCAGGCTTAACTTTGGCTTACAAGTGCCTGAAGGAAGAAGGCATTGGTTGGTTCAGAGCAGGAAATAGGTGACAGCACGGAAGCATGGACAGATAAAGCAGTGCCTAGACCTTAGCGACTGAAACAGTCAGCAGGTCCTGCCCACTTGTCGTTTACCTGGATACCTGCAAGCAGGTAGGCGGAGTCTCTCTGAGGACAAATGAATCAGTTAGAGCAATTTGCTAGATGGGATTTACTTTCTTTCCTGAGCACAGCACGTGTCCAGCCCTGTGTAAAGATCCGGACTGTTTGGCCGGATGTTTCCCAGACCCTCCCAACCCTCACGAGGCCAATACAGGAGTTAAAAGCGAAATTGAAACACCAAAGCAAGACAGTGATCAAGTGGGCACGAAAAGAAAGCATGTATGAATATTCACTGATTAGAGAGATTTGAGATTTAGTCCGTATGCTTTTTTTAGGGGTCTACTTGAATCCCAGGGGCAGCTCTGTTCCAGTATTACAACAATTGGAGGTGATAGTTCAAATTAAATTCTTAAAAATCTAAATATGGTATTTGTTGGCTGTGTTAAAGTCATTTTCAAATGCTCCTCACGCCCGGCATTTTAATTCCCTGTTCAAGCATTTGTAACACTTTGGCTATTCCTACCTGGGCTTGTTGGCAGTTAGAGTCACACGGTGCTTACAGTTCCCCATAGGCCTGCAATTAGGAGCATTTTAAATGATTCAGATTTGGATGATAGCACAGTAATAAGGCAATGTTGTCTGCTGTGAGGGCCAAGAAGGAGGAGTCAGAGTTATTTTGGTCCCAAGCTTGGTGTGTGACCCTGGGCTTGTCACTGGTGCTTCAGTTTTACCAGAAGGACAGGGAGGCTCACGCCTCCACTCAGCCTGGACCGGAGCCTGCTGGGAGCAGCCTGGCTGACTGTTAAGCTCTGTGGAATCCTGCGAGGGCTGTAAACAACTCGTTTCATCCTACTGAATCGCTGTCATTTCTGTGACCGGCATCCAGCATCCCTGGACACTTTATTCACTGTCTGGAACGTGCTCCCGGAGGATACTGGGGAGGTTTCCGCCCCGCCGTGGACTGTCTGCGTGTCCGGAGAGGTTTCCTTCCCCTCGAAGGCGATAAATGCTGAACACTCCCCACCTCGGACGGACGGACGGACGGACGGACGGACACACACACACACACACACACACACACTTCCTCCTGACCGTGGGAATGTTTTTGGTCCATGCGTTCTAAATCCTGTACTGTTCAGAGATGGGGGTCAGGGGCTCGGGCAGTTGGCATTTGGGCTGGGTGGGGCGGGTAGAAAAAGGACAAGGAAAGGAAATCTAGATCCCCTTCCCTGGGCCTCCAGAGTGGCAGCAACCAGTCATTCAATAGCTGGTAAAACAAGGGGGAGGTGGGGGAAGAAGGGGAGGAGATTGTTCCCGGGACAGGTGAGGCACGGAGCAGGCCCTGGCTCCTCCACCTGCGAGAGAGCTGGCTCCCTCCCCGCGTCCGCCCGACTGGCCCGTGCAACCTTCCGGCACCTGGGAACTCGGGAGTTTAGAGGAGCGTTGGGAATTTAACTATGCACATTTTATCCAACAGAAACTAAGGTAGGTGTAGCTACCTTCTTTATTATTGAAAGCAAAAGAACCAATCAAAGCATAACAAAACAAAAAAAGGTGAAAAAAACCTTTACACGCTGGTCTTTCAGGAAAACGGATCAGCCCACCAAAACAAAGGCTTCTTCTTTTCGCAACCTAGCGGGGGTCCCCAGGGACTGGGGAGGGAGGGCGGGCGAGGCGCCAGCCCTCCAAATCCTCCGGAAGGCCCCGCCCCAGCCGCCCCGCCCCCCTCAGGCTGTCAATCACTCCTGACCTGACGGAAGGTACCGGATCCTATTAGGGAGGAGGAGTCCGGCTTGGGCGTGGCAGATGCCGCGCAAATCGTTGTGCAGCAAGGAACCGTGTGTAGAACTTCGCAGAAGGACGCGAGACGTTGGGGTTCCACTTGCTGTGGTCACTAACACAAGAGAGAGGGAGAAAGGGAGGAAGGGAAGAAAGGAGAAAGGAAAACAAGAGAGTGGGTTAAACTTGGAGTAGAACTGAGGTCAGGGACTCTAGGCTGTTTAACAGGTGAGCCATCCTAAGGCAGAAGTTTTTTGGTGCTCCTGGATTTAGAATGATCTTCAAAGGTTAAGAGAAACATTAACATGAGATCCATTCCATTAGGACGGTTACATTATCATGGAAATATTTTTAAATTATCAGAGGAATGATGAAAATAAAAGTCATAAAAACTAAAAGGAAGTACTTACCAGGTGTCACTTGCTATTCTAGGCAATTATGTAGCAAGTCTATAGGTTAGGTGCCAGTACCATTTGCTACAGCTGGGGAAACACAGGGCTAGAAAAGCAGAGAACTTGGCTGAGGATGGCTCAACCAGCAAGTGGCTGGGCCTGAGCAGTTTTTAACGAGGGCTCTTTTTAACCACAGGGAAGAAAGGGGGGAAGGTTCTGACTGGGTGCTCACTGGATAAGGTTCTAGACAGTACTTCAGCCTCTTCCGGTCCATTATTCAGAAGGAAGTGCCTCGTGGAAGCTGGGGAATGTCTATGAAGGAAGGAATGTGTTCAATTGCAAATTAATGAGTAATCTGGTTTATATATGACGTACAATTACATATGCCTTTGTGCATGAGATACACTAGGAAATTTATCACTCCTGGGGATATTCTTGAAATTGTTTTTTGGGAGCTTGTCAGATCAACACCAAGAAGGAAGGTCAGCTTAAAGGATCCCTCAAGAATGACCAGTTGTGGCTGGGTGTGGTTGGCACATGTATATAATTTCAGCTATTTAGAAGGCTGAGGCAGGAGAAGGCAAGTCTGGGAAAATTTGTAATACCTTGTCTCAAAATAAAAAATAAAAAAAGACTGGGGCTGTAGTACTGGGTTCACTTCTCAGTACCATGATGGTGGTGGGCGACCAATTGTAACTAACTTTCTCTGACCTCTTTTATGGCCATTTGTATGTATAACTGCAGCAGTCTTTCTTTTAAAATTTGAAAATCTTACAAAGCTGACCCAAGACCATATAACTACACAAGCTTGGTAATATCAGATAATAAGTTCTGCTCTAACTCACTGCCATGATGAATGATTAGACTGGGGTTGGCAAAAACTGAACAATCATTGCTTCATTCCCCCTAGATACCATTCTCATTGTCATTGCTAACACAGTGCCTGGAGCTCAGAGGTCACTTTGGAATCTTCCAGCTATAAGTGTGGTGCACTAGCAGATGACATTAAGCACAAGATCAAGTTGTTTTCTGTCCCCAGTTTGACAGTATGTGAGAAGGTTAAGTGGGAAGCACATGATTGGAAACATGAATTTGGATCTTGAGGGATGTGGACACACACCGGGTAGAGAGGACAAACTTTTACAGAGGGGCAGCCGTGTAGGTAGAGGCAAGAGTGCCCACAGGCTGTGTGTGCTGGGGAGGATACACTCATAGTAGGAGAGGACAGGAATGTGAGACAATGAGATGTTCATTCTGCTGGGGTGAAGAGGATCCACTGAGTGCCGAAATGGGACGAGATTAGAAAGAGCCTCCGGGGCTGACCGCTTCAGGTTGTCACATCACTGTTGGCTGCTTTTCTCAGCACAAGGGGTGGGGGTGGGCAGGGAGGAAGTAAGAGAGAGCATAAATGGACCGGGGGTTGTTTGTTAAGAGTAACAGTGTTTTCAGAGTTGGGCTGACCTTCCCTGATATGCCATTTCTGCTACACTACGGTCTTTCTCTTTGCCAGCAAACTTTTTTGCTGTCACTATATCCTGGAAACTTTGTTCTTTGGAGAGACAGGTGGGAAGCATTAGAAAGCTCTCTGAACTCAAGGTTGAGCCTGTCTTAGTTAACCACCAGCTCACTTGAATTCTCTTATGTATCTTGACAAGGAAAATAAAAGGGGGAAGAAAGTCTGTTTTCAAAGCTGTTTACTTCTAGATGCTCACAATGATTGTCGGCATTCTCAAGGATTCCTCCTGGCACGAACCAAGCCTGTGATTTCAGAGAATTGCTTTGCCCCTGCCCCCGCTTTAAAAAACCCACAGCATATTTGTAGAATTGTCCAAAATGACTGAATGCCATGACAGAAATGAATACATTTCATCTGATTTAAAATGACATCTCTTGAAAAAACCTCAGCTATATAATTCTGAAGGTATTCAGCTTCATGAGATGGACTTGCTCTATGTACATTGCATCATATAGGCCTCAAGTTTTTAAAGCTAGCTCAGCTCCAAATCTTTCATTGGCTAATTGTAAGTGCTTAGCATGATGCAAATGAGCAGATCTCAGAAACGCAATTATGGGAAATAATAGTAGTAATCACAAATATCAGCTGCTATGATTGGTGCCATCTGTTTCTGTGGCTACAACAGATTCCATTTTTCTCCTAAACTCACAGCCTCTGTGCTGCCTGGTTTGCAGATGCACCTCTATAGGAGGCTGTGGATCTCCAGCATAGGAGAAGATGCTTGTCTGGTTGGTGTGCTTTTGAAGGGGGAGGAAGCATTTCAGGGAAATTAGAATTATACCAATTATTGAAGATGACATAAGTTTTGTGAAGGTTTACTATGCAAATTTGTGACCAGCACATCGTTCTTTAGTAGGGATATCTGTAATTGTCAAAGGGCCTCTATCTTGTGATGATTGCAAATATCTTGATTCTATATAATCTCCATCTTTACATAAACCAGGTAAGTTATTCTCAATGAATTATTTTTTATGGTAATGGTGTTGCAGTTGTGAAAGTTGTTACATCTTTGTGTTTTGGTTCCTTCAGACATGGCTATTTAATTGACTCCATCCCGTTTGTCAAAGATGTAATACCCCTTTCTCTGTTAACTTTGACTTCAGCCACATCTTTGCACAGGACCCCCTCTAGAATCCTTGATCTCCTCAATTATGATGAGAATGATATTTACCTCCATTCCTCTTGAGCTACCCATTCTTGGGATCACCCTTTTGCTTTTGTTATCACCCAAAATCTCCATCTCAAAAAGAAATCTGAAACTGCAACTCTCTATTGTATCCTCTTATCCATTTGGTTCTTTCATTCCCTATTCAAACTTGATCTTCTCCTCTGAATTGGCTATGCTGTGTGGTTCCTGGACTCACGGAGAGTGCTGAGATTATCCCTTGCCAGATCTCACTTCTGTGCCAGTGTTCTCAGCTTCCTGAGGGCAAAGCCCTATCACTAGCCTCCTCTCACATC